TATCATCATCGTCTTCATCGTCTCGATTATCTTCCTTCCCAGTCCCATTAATGTCTGTGAGTCCTGTATATGTCAAAGGGTGATAATTTACGAGCGCAAGCATAGCTCAGTAAACAAGAAGCGGTACAGGAACTCCCGGCATCAATCATACTAAAATAAAATGGGCCACAGTGTCAGCCAGTTAACACAAGCTATTGTGTGACATTATATGGTGCTGTGTGGCGTACCCTGCTATACACAGGCTAGCATACCAGCATTATGTTCAACACTCAGTATTCCCATGAATTACTACTGCATAACTAGCATACCACAACGGTTTCATCCCTAATATGTTGTTGTAACATCTAACTAAACGGTTATGACATCTTTCTTATTCACAGCGATTTTTTTTAGTGACGTCGCAAGTATAGTTCTACCATTTTCTGACATCTGCCTTTCTTCACAGACATGAACTGTTAAGCCCCCTTAGTTGTGAAATTAAATTAAATCTTCAGTGTGCTATTTTAACATGAACTGTTAATAGGTTGATACGTTGCATCAAATGTAGTAACCAGAATAGTAGGTACTATTCATAAAAGAACAGATATGACTTGGAAAGCCAGTGTATGCCCCACTGCTATTTTAACATGTACTTATATACGTTGCATCAAGTTTAGTAACCAGAACTGTAGGTACTATTCATAAAAACATATAATCTTTGGATAGCCAGTATATGACCCAGTAACACGAACTTAAAAGTTTATTTTTACAAATGTTGATGGTGCATAAATAAGAATATATAATTTCACACTGTAGGTTCAAATGAATACGACTCACTCTTTTACCTCTCTCTCTCTCTCTCTCCTCTCTCTCTCTCTCTCTCTCTCTCTCTCTCTCTCTCTCTCTCTCTCTCTCTCTCTCTCTCTCTCTCTCTCTCTCTCTCTCTCTCTCTCTCTCCTCCTCTCCCTCTCCCTCTCTCCCTCCTCTCCCTCCCTCCCTCCTCCCTCCTCACTCACTCACTCACTTCACTCACTCACTCACTCACTCACTCACTCACTCACTCACTCACTCACTGCCACTCTTACTCTTACTCTCTCTCTCAGACAAGAAGCGTATAAGTTAATACAGCCATAAAGGGGATTATTGATAAATGTATCCGTTTCTTTGCGAGCTGAAATGTCTACGAAAATCTGACAATACCAAACCTTTATTCATTTGGTAAATGTGCCTTTGTGTTATAGTTCAATCATTTTTAAGTTATTTTTTCCACACAAAAAATGGAAAGTAAGACGCAAGGGCTCACGATACATACATTTATTTTTACAAAACCAAGTTAAAAGTAATGTAACTAGAGCTACAAAACTAATTCGAAAATGTATCATTGCTATTTTCCATGATTACTATTATTGTGAAGATTTTTATTTTTCCCGTCTTTGCCCAGGCATCGGAAAAGGTGCAGCTGATCCTGCAGAAGGGCCTCATCTACACGATTCCCGGCACGTGCGAATCGGAGCTGGAGTCGCGCACCTCCTACGTGATCACCGGCAACGTGGAAGCCAGCAAGCCGTGGACCAACATCTGCCATTTCGTAAAGCCTTGGAAGTCCCTCTCGCCCAAGATGAAGAAAGGGTTCCGACTCCTGTACCAAAGCGGCTGCGATTGTCCGGTATGTGTGGTTTTCCTTGCTTGTGTTTTTCCCTTGGTTAGAGGAAAAGGCTTGTGTTATGGCAGAAAAATAGTATGGAAGGGAAGGGATGATTCCACAGATAATTCCACAATAAAAGATGTATAGACGTAACGATGTCAGTTTTTCACAAGTGCGTATTTCTGAAGAAGTAATGTGGAAACATCTGTTGCACCGTGAAATTGTTCATTCTCATTCATTCACTTTTTTCTGTACTTGTTGCAATATTCTATATGTAAGCACCGACGAACATCAAAATTGATATCTTTCAATGGGTTTGCGGTATTAATTCTTTTAATAATGTGTCTAATTTCATTTGTTGGTCACGCAGAAAGTCATTGAAAGGACGGCTCGTAGGGTTGAAGACCTTTTGTTGTCGTGTTTACTCTCTAAATGACACTCTTGTTTTTCAGATCATGTCCTGTCACTTTTGGCAGTCGTGTCCCAAAGCCAGTTTCTTCTGTGCATGGGAAACGTCAACCGAGATGGATGACTGCCAAGGACGGCATGCTGTGAGTATTTCGATTCTGTAAAGGAGAGAAGTTTTGTTATCACAATAATTGAGTTATAGAGTGTACTTAGAAGCTCTGAAAAACTGACTCAAATTGTAATTAAGTAAGAACTATTTAAATTATGAAAGATATAGAGTTAAAATAAAGATCTGTCCTACAAATGTGTCTAAGAACAGAAAATACTCATTATCAGAAGCTAAGTATTGTTTCAACCTATTCTGACAGAGTAAAAGACAAAGATCCCTTCCTCACTAAATGCCTCTCCAATCATTCCTGACAGGTGTGCCTCCGAGGACCCGACGGCACTTGCGGCTGGCTCGGCTAACAGCACGGTCATCTCAACAGCGACAACGAGGAGGGCAACAACAACAGCGACCAGGAGAACAACGACCACGACAACAGGATCAACGCCGAGAACGACAGCCTCCCCCCTCGTCGCGGCAAGCTGTCGAGATTCGGCTACAAGAGGGCCGGGGGACGAGCAGCAGGAGTGGGTGCCGGAGGAGCAGGAGGAGGACCTGCCTTCCGACGTCGGAGGCCCCTGAGGCGGCGTCCCCAGAGGCCCCACCAAGCCATCGCAAGAATTGGCTACGGGATTAAACATGCTTGAAGCCTCCTGCTGTCTCTTAGAAACTGCTTTCTCGCCTTCTAGATAGATAGATCTGATGTGCTTATTTAAACATAAAAAAGATAATGTGAATGATTCGAAAGCCGTTTTGCTTATGTTAAAGTTCAAAACGGCACATATCTTAGACAGTTAATACTCTTGAATCAGCCATATCAAGAAGTTAACATGCAATGCCAACAAAGGTAATATCAAAGCTTTACTAAATGATACTACTGCATGACACTCTTCATATTGTAAATGTTACTTTTGAGATGATTTCATAGTGTATCTGAAATAAAATTTATATTTTGGTATTAGCTTTTTATGTTTATGGTGAAGGTATATGATTATATATAGCTGGAATGAATCTAGTCTGTTGATAATGTAAGTAACTACATCAAAGGTAGGTAGTAGCTGACCTTGGTGCATTTTTATTGCATTTAAATGTTGTTACTGATCTGTCTACATAATAAATATTAATATGGGAATGTTTAGGATATTGTACAATAAGTTTGTAGTTGATGTAAATTATAGGAAGAGGCACAGGCTGCAGTTGTTTTTTATCGTAATGGTCAAATGCATTGGTCTTAAAATCATTACTGTTGAATTTATTGCACAGAGCAAAGGCAATAAAAAGAATTTGGCATACAAAATATTTAATGAACTAATATGTACTTGAGATATTTTACTTTGGCTTTATTTCTTCTTTTGATGAAAATAAGTCATTGTATATGTCTCAGTGCATTAGATATTTAACTGTTTTTTTCTCAGTATAGACAACATTAATAAGTGTACATATTGTTATAATTTAGGGAAAGGCATTAAATTACTTACACTTCTCTAATTTCCTGCGGCATAGACAGTTTTGTCTAAATGTGAAAATTTAGTAATCATGATTTTAACCCACACTAGCCAATGTTTGTTGTAAAGTTGTTGTAAGTTGTGCCCACATTATTATCATGTAATATAGCATATACCTTGGAGGTTAATGATATGAAGTTGGAGACAAATATATATTCAATCTGGATATTTTTTCTGCAAACAACCAAGTGATCTAATAATGATTATATTCTTACTTGAATTAAGAATCATGAATGAATAAGAATTACCTATCTCTGTTAGTTTCTTTTCTGTCAAGTGTTATATTGAACATTTTCTTGCAATCCCTTACATTGTGACTCTAATCAGAAGTATCTGAAATGTGGTTTTGTGTCCACAATACTCATTCGCCCCACTTTGTGTTCACTGTAATATCATACAATAAATTTGTGTTCACTGTATAATAATGTTTATGTCAGCATACACTCTGATATCATATTATATCACTTTGTTCGGTATATGATCTCATAGAAGGCTTTGTGTTCAATATATGGTATAACTTGTGTATGCATTATATTTCTCTTTCTTGCATATTAAGAAAATGAATATAGATTTATGGTTACTGCATAGTATGTTTTCTCTTTGAAGTATGATGATTTTGCATTCACTGTAAGACATTCATATTCACAGCAGGATATTATCAATGTCATTATATTCATTATATGGTGTCACTTCCACAAATTGTATACTCTGATTTTGCTCACATGTACAAAAGGGAGCTTGTATTAATTGTTCTACTCTTCTATTTCATATTTCTTTTTCAAAGTTGAGTAAGGTTTGTATAAGAGAATGTTAGAAAGTTGTTACCATAATCTCCTTATTTTCTTTCTTTTTGTTAGGCAAAAAAAAAAATTGTCTCAGGTTGTTTTTTAAATTCTGTTCCAATAGACAGGCAATTCTTAAACTGTATGATTTTACTTCAGGTTATGACTAAAAGTACTAAAATGAACAAAATTTCCTTGCCTTACATATAGAGTAATATTTATTGTCTAATGTTCCTTTGATGTAATGGGATCATACATAACAGTATCATAAAATTTCTCTGAACTGGATTTATTATAATTTATTCATATATTCTTTTGATATGTATGAATTCATAATTAGAGTATGTTATAATCCCAATTACAAGTGTCAAAAAGATTTTACATTTTTACATTATTTCATGCTTATTAACCAAAGATTCTTTTGGTGACGGTTCAGAAATTGTCTTCAATCTTATATTCATGAATGAATGAATTTGGCTTTTTTATATATTGTTTATTATTTGGATGTTTTATGTTTATGAGGCAGATCCATAGCAGACAAACAACAAAAATAGAGCATTCAGAATACCTGAATTAAGGTGTTTTAAATCCCAAGTTCCTATTTTTTATTGTCAAAGTTATTTGTTTGTGTAAAGGTTGTTGAAATATATTATATGCAAAACCTTTTAAGCAAATATGAATAATTTTCACGAGGCCAGGATAAATAACATTCTACATAGCATCAGTATACACTTGAAAATAAAAAACATTCTTTTTTTAATTGTAAAACCAAGTGCATACATAAATGCTGAGTAGTGAATATTAGCCTTATCCATCCTATCCTAAACATCCATACATTGTACTTACAGGGATATTTCATGTGGTTAGTGTGATTCATAACACATTTTGGTTATATTCTGTGAGCAGGCACTCATTCTGAAGACAATACAGTCCCTGAAGTGAAGTCTTGCACAAGGATTTATTTCAGTAGTAAACGACATTGAAACTTTGTGAATTCAGACTTCATTTCAGTTTAGTTCCCTTGGCCTGTGTCCAATTCAGCACATCAGTCTGAAATGGTTATAGATTGTTTTATATCTGCATTTAGATTTCATGTGGATCTGCCTCTTGCTTATAAAGGTTTATAATGTGTACAAATTATGAAATTGCTTCAGTACACCAGTCTGAATTCTGGTGCTGATAACTGGTCAGAGTGTGTGTAATGCATATGTTTTATTTTAATATCAGAATTTTTATGCATATTCTATGTTCAGAAACTACAATGCTAAAGATTATTTTTAAGAAGGCAAGAATCATGTCAGATTTTGAAAGAAAACTTTTATATATAGATGGATTTTTTATGACAAATATCTTCAGTTCAATGAGTCAGACTGAAATGCACAATATCACTAATAATTTACTGTTAATAAAGTATAATTTGAATCAATTGTGAATAAAAATAGTATGAATTTGTAACAGATAACTTTTTTCTTCATTTTTGTTACACAGCATTTTCAGATATGGTAAGTAAGATTTATGGTTAAAATACTGTTGGCTCTAAACTTTGGAATTGTTTATTTATTTAGATAAATGTGAGAAAAGTAATTGTTGTAATGCTGTTCATCATAAAATAAAGGTATCTGACCTCTTCAATTAGTTTACATTCACCCTATACACTACACTTTTGCTGTACTCTTAATTATTGAAGGTTATATTAAAGTCATAAAAATATATCACAAATAAAGATTTATTTGATATATCACAAACAAAGTTTTATTTCCTATACAACCTATGCATAAGAACATTCCTAATAAATTCCCATGTTAGCAAAACTAAGAGGAAACCTTTTATTCTCTTTCCCATTACAAATGTACCCTACCTTCAGTAGGATATGAAAGACCATTAAATGTGATCTGTTTTGCCATTGGTAGCATATTGGAAAAAAGAAATCAAATTTACCTCTACAACTCAAAACCTTTTGTCCCTAAATATTCCTTTTTGACCTTCTCCCTCTCGCTCACAGGTGGCACTATGGGTAATATCCCCTTTCTCCTCCTATCCCTAATGACGCGCGTCCAGAATGTCTTGCATATCCTGTAGTTGTCGAAGTACAGCCCACAAGACTCCCTGTCCATGACCCTCTCATACAAACATTTCATGGAGAGGTTGTACTCCTTTATGCAGGGGTTGTTTTCTTCATGCAGGGTGTTGGTGTCTGTCATTCTGCAACCTGATTCTGGGTGCACCTTGACGTTGTCCCAGTACTTGCTGCCATGTCCCCAGCGGAAAGCATTGGTCTTGAACTCGGGCTCTCTTCTACTCCCCTTTTTCTTTTCTGTCTCTTCTACCATGACCCTGAGAACAAGAACAAGATTGTAGTACCAGTAGACATTATGAAAAGCAAAAGAATTAATACTTGCAAAATATAAAAATATTTTTAATCCTATTTCTTCTACTGTAAGATGAAATACTACTCACAAATTATCAAAATGTCCCAGGATAAAATTTGTCTATCATGACCCTGTGAATGACAATATGAGGTTAGTTGCAATGCTGAAATATTCTAAACTAGAGAGACAGACAGACAGAGAAATACAGTACAGTGCACAATGAATTCCAAGATAAAAAAAGATGAAAATATTATTACAGGCACTCCTAGTTTAGGCCTCTCATGCCACTTTCAAGTGTTTCTACAATCATCCCACATTTTAGACTAGTCTAGCTGTTCCATATTATTATTTAAAACAAATAAATAATGGTCATGATATCAGCTGCTACGACTTGGCATGAAAATATATTAAGCCTACCTTAAATCAACACATGACTGCTTGCCCTGATATTGTCTCTATATTTTTTTCACAAGACATCACCCAAAAATCGGCTTCTAGTGATTCTGTGACTTTCCAAAATTATACTTCAATTCCCTCAATTTATAACTTTGTTAACAGAAAATAATTTATATTTTCACCTTCCATTGCACATTTCTGTCTTTGTAGTTTGTGCAAGTAACCACAAATAAAGTATACAATTTTTTAAAAATGAACTTTAAATCTGAGAGATTTGCAAACTAAATCTTTACATTTGAAGTTCATTTTA